CGGCGAGACGGCGGAGCGCTGCGCGGCCCTCGCGAGGCCGCCGCCCGCGGCGCGCGCTCGCTGAAGAAAGCGACCGGGCTGACCACCAACAAGCGGTCTACCGAGCCGTCCGTGCACTCCACGGGCAGCACTCGCCGCTGCCGCGCGCGATGAGGCCCCGCGCCCCCCTAATGGCGCTGCGGTTCCTGACCTCTGAAGGTCGCGGTTGCGCCCCCCCCCCCCGGGGTGGCGCTCGGGGCCGGGGCCGACGCGTGAGGGGCCCTCCGCTTAATCGCATCCAAACGCCTGAGCTTCCGCCCCCGCTCTGACCGCCGGCCCATGATCCGCGCTTCGCACGCGAGGGCCGCGTGCGCTCGCGCCGACGTGCCTGCGACCAACGTCCTCTAGACCTCGATGACCACATCGTGAGCAGCGCTCGCGTCGCCGACGACTGCAGGCCACGCGGCGTGGCAGGCGTGGAATGCGACGCGTGAAATCTGATGGGCGGCGCGCCAAAATGGAAAAATACGAACATGTTCAACCGCGGGGCAGCGTTTGAAAACCTCACCCCGACCGTTTTTCCAGGCCCAATGCAAAAATGCGCCCATGCGCGTTGAATGGCAGCGTTGTACGACCTCGCCCCAGCAGCTTGTTTTCAGCACAATTGCAAAATATGTCCTCCGCGTCTTGCAGGAGCTTCTGTTCTTGCAAAACAATGAAAACCTCGCCCCGACAGCTATGAAGCGGCAAAAGCCAGAACCCAGCTGGCTAACAACCAGGACTCAACATTGAGTTCCGCCTTTGGCCATGTTCTTGTTCACATCGCAACATGTTTTGACATCGACATAAAACAAATCGCTGCTTCGTTTTTCCAATCTTATACAACTCAAACTCTAGTTTAAATCACTGCATCACAAATATCACGCAAGTCGATTCCATCCTCTATATAACCATGATAATGTCTTATATCGTCTATATAGTTTTATCAAGTAATATAACTGGTTGCAGACAGGCTGATGATTCAAGTCCTCCTCCTCCCCCCCCCCCTCTGAGACCACCCCGTGGAGCCCCGGGGGCCGCGCGGCCCGTCCTCGACCCCCCCGCCGGGGGCCCCGGGGCCCGCCCTGCCCCCCCACCCCGCCCCCTTCCCGGGCCCTCGTGGCTCAGCGAGCGGGCGGCGCCTCGCGACGGCGGCGGCCCTCCGAGACGGCGGCGGGGGAGGAGGAGGGGGAGGGGGAGCGCGACTGCGAGTAGGGGGAGTGGGGGGAGGAGGAAGGGGGGGGCGGAGGAGGAGGGCGACGACGACGACGAAGAGGAGAAGGAGGACGACAGGGACTAGGACTAGGACTAAGAGTAAGAATAAGACTAGGAGGGAGAGGAAGGAGGAGGAGCAGGAAGACTGGACAGGACAGGACATCCGCATAAAAAGGGGCCACGCCAGAACGCCCGAAAAAGGAGCTGCGGGGTGCGCCTCGCAAATTCCCCCACGGTTGCAGCGCGCCGCGCGCCCGGACTTCTCGCGGGGCAAGCAGGGGGCGCGCCCCGATGCTCGAGAGGGCGAGCTCCGAAGTGGCCCCGTTGAAAAGAATTCGCTGATTAAGGCGGGGAACGGCCGCCGGCCGGTTCGCGCGCCCGCTCTGGGGGGCGCGCTGTCGAAAAGGGTTCCTAAGCGGGGGGGCCCCTGAACCCCTCTTTCCTTTGTGGGCCAGAGCCCCCGCGCTCCGAGACGCCCCCCCCCCCCCCCTCCACAGAAGCTCCAGCGCGCCGAGATGTCCTCGCCATTGCTCTCTGCTCTCGCTGCGCCGAGACAGATGCTTCCCGCGCCAAACGCGCTCAGATGTCGCTTTCCGCGCCAAGCGCGTTCAGACATGCTCGGCCTCTGCCCCCCCGCCCCCCTCGCCCGCCGCAAGGTCACGCTCGCTGCGCCGGGGAATCTGGGGGGCGCGCGGCGCGTGCAGAAGATGGGCCGAGGGCGAGAGACTGGGGGGCTAGAAGGGGGAACGCTGGGCGAGAAGGCCTGCGCTCCGAGATGCCCTCTCAAGTGCGCGCGGCTCTCCCTTCGAGGCTGATTCAGCATTCTCCTCTGCGTCGAACGCGCTCAACTGATCCTCTGCGCTTTCCCATTCTGAGAGAGCGTAATCTTCGCGGGCTAGCAATTATATAGTTGTCTCCCATGCTGGCGAGAACTCCAATGCTTTCCCGCGCCGAAAAAGCGAACTCCACTTCTGCAAAAAAGCGAAGTGCGTCGGTGGAAGCCCATTGGCGCCGCAATTCATCTGCAGAAAAAAAAAGCAATGGCCAATATTGTTCCACATAATGCCATAGATGCCGTCCAAAATTCGCCCGTTGCGCTTCCGTGTCCTCTCTTCGATGACAAAACCCTTCAACGATTGTGTCTTCAACCGCTGTGAGATCAGAGGGGGCCCCCGCTGGGGAATTTTGCCCTTCCCCTTCCCCCAGTTCCCTACCCTTCTCCGCCCCCTCCGCACTTGCACAATTCCTTCGTGGAGCCAAAATCATAATGTGTCAACGAATTCTCAAATGGACATCCCCCCTTCCGTGCGCAGTGTTTGCAAAACGCTCTTCGCGATTCCTTCGCGGGTCGCTGTGTAGCAGAGGAATCCCAGAAACGTTGCGATCTCAGGGTCATCGTTGAGGAGCATGGGTTTTCGAAGTTCGTCATCGGCACCAGTCGGTTGCCTCTGATACTCGGGGCCTCCATCTTCTCAGCCCAAACCTCCTTCGCTCGCCGGCGAACAAACGAGTCGATCTCCTGGGACAACAGTTCCAAATACTTGGGTTGGCCTCCATCTTTCCAGACATCCTTCTCGCCCGTCTCACCGCGGGAACCCATGGGTCTTCGAAGTCCACCATCGGCAGAAGCCAATGTCCTCCGAACCTCGGGGCCTCCATCTTCCCTCATTCTCACCTGTTTTCGTCTGCGCCGCGGCGACGAGGCTCTCTTTGCGCTTCTGGCGCTGCATTGCTCCGGCTCGGCGCCCCCCCCGGCGACTCGAGCGCAGTGGCCCCCTTCGGGGGGGAGCAGGTGGCCACGCCCGTGCAGCCTCAGACGGCTGTCCTCCGACAGAGTGGTCATGGGTTTTCGAAATTCATCACTGGCGAAAGCCAATGGTCTGCGACCCTCGGGGCCTCCATCTTCCTTCTGGCTTTTGCCGACGGGCAAATCAATGCAGAGCTGGGCAACTAGGGCTCCACTGACGCAATTGATCTTCTATCTCAAGTGGCAACTTGTCAACCAAAACCGTTCTCTGTTTATTTGGCTCCTTGTTTGCTTCAAGGTCAATATCCTGGTGCACCTGCTCCCAAACATCTGAATCCTTTATGGATTTTCGAGGCTCATCACTGGCACCCTGCAGTTCCCTCCGATACCGGGGGCCTTCACCATCCCTCTGGTAACTGCTGTCCAGCGACGGCCCTTGATCAACCAATTGTTCTCACATTGCAATCCTGGCAATCTGGCATTTCCGAACATGGGTACGGCGGATATATAATCAGCGTCTTTCGCTTGTCGTTTTTTTGTTGTTTGCTTTCTTCGCTTGTTCCAAGGTCACACTACAATCCTCCGTAGACGTTCGGAAACTTGCGGCACAAAAGAATTCCATCACCATATTACGACCGTGTTACGCGAGACGGGATCGCAAAAGGTACGGTATCGGAGTGGCTTCAGGGATTGTTCACTTTTTCCGTTCCTCCTCACCACTACTCCCTCTCTGGCCCGAGCAGGATTGGAGAATGTATGGGGCTGAAGTCGTGTGAGTGAGTTTCAGTGAACGTCTACACTCCGTCGCGTCTCAAAGTACCTGAGCCTCCAACGCCGACAAGGAGGAGGATGAGGAGGAGGAGGAGGAGGAGGGGGAGGAAGAGGAAGAGAAGGAGTAGGAGGAGGAGGAGGAGGAAGGAGGAGGAGGAGGATAAGGAGGAGGAAGGGGAGGAGGAGGAGGAGGAGGAGGAGGAGGAGGAGGAGGAGGAGGAGGAGGAACGAGGAGGGGGAGGAGGAGAAGGAGGGAGGGGCGATCGGGGTGGGGCCTCCTCTAACAGGAACTGGCCGGAGACCTCCCAAAGAGGGCCCCCTCGGAGCCCAGACGGCAGGAGGATTCTCAGGAGGGCCCTCCCTGAAGGGGCCTGGGGGCACACAAAAGAGGTGGACATAAATCCCAGGATTCCCCATCTTGTCCCATCTCTTTTGTGGAATTTCGCCTTTTCCTCCACTTTTCCTGTGCTTGTTCCATGTGTTCTCGGGGGGTCGGCGACTTTTCGTGTCCGTGTGTCTTATCCCCTTCCGATTTTTTGTGTTGGGGTTGGGGGCCCCCCCCCCTGCCTCTCGAGAAGGCCGCCGCCGTCGCCCTGCTTGCCCCGTGTCCAGGGGCGAAGGAAGGGGGGGGGGAGCAAAGGGGGGGGGGGGGGGCGAATCGATCACGGGAGTCGGCTGTTTTTCTGGGGGGGTGTACTGTGTGTCGAAGGATATGCCTGGTGGTGGATCCGACACCGGCCGCACGCAACACTTCCCACCACCACCACATCCCCCCACCCCTCCGCACGACCCGGGCATGAGGGAAAGAGGCCCCGACGGCAGTGGGTCTTGCACCTGTGCGCTTTCTCCAAGACATTTTTTCATCCCGAGACGTCTCCACACGGCCCCAAGGCCCAGGAAGGGCCACAAGAGGCCGAGCGCTGCGGAAACGCTCAGGGCCCCTCTTCCTCAGAACGCCCTGAGCGAGGCGCAGCTGCTGGAGTGCACTCCGACGCTGGAAAACCTTTGGGCACCCACGAAAACGCCTGAAATCGGGGGCGCGCAAACATGTATTAGCGATCCATGGATTTGGCGCGCGTTCGTTCATCCATGAATCGGGGAAAGTACCCTCCGCAAAATGCGGCCGGTGCCGCCTCGTTCCGCGGCGGAAATCTGCGATATCTCATGGAAACGGGACCCGTCGCTAATCCACGCCCCCTTAATCCACGTTTGCGATCGCCTGATGAAAGCGCCCGAGAACACCTCGAACCTCCTCTGATGAGTGCGCCCCGGGCCAGCCGGGTGGGCAGGTCACAGCGGCTCCGCCCCCGAGACGCCGCCCAAAAGCATCCCCCGCCGCCTCGACACGTGCGCTCTCTGGCGCTCCTGCGCCGCCGCCCTCCGAGCACCCCCTGCCGCGCGCGGGCGCTGCGCCGCCGTCGCCCCCTGCGCGGGGAACAAAACGACAGCGACACTGCCACCACAGGAAGGCACAACAACACTGCAATGTGCTGCGTTCTGCGCGATAGCTCCGTGACCGACCCTGCCCCCGCGCCCCCTCCCCCCCTCCCTGGCCACCGCCGGCGCGGCCCCGGACCTGGCCATTCCCTAGCGTTGCCAGACGGCATCGGCGCGAATCTTCACGCGATCGGCCCCCCCCTCCCCCCCTCACACGGTCACACCCGTCATCGCCAGTGGATCAAAAGAACGGTTTCCAGCGGCATGGGCAAAAACTTTGCAGAGGTCCGCGCGGTCTTCTTGGAGATCGGCGCCGTGTCCCCGCATGGCGGCGCCTCCGCTGCCCCGGCTACGGCGGCCTGAGATATTCCAGAGGGCCCCAGGGAGAGCCTCCAAACGCAAGACACATCCATCCCCAAAGTTCGATCCTCGGAGCATCGGTCCTCGAACCTGCGCCTCACCCTCGCGGGCGTGGCGCCGCAGCCCCTTCGGGTGTTGCCAACAAGCGGCCCTGTCCAAAACATGTCCTTTTAACTTCCCGCGCTTCGTTTTGGAGCCCTTGGGATCTTCCAAGTCGCGTGGAAGGTGCTGTGGGGGCCACGTGGGGCTCATTGGAAAAGCCACGATCAGCCAGCGCATTGCGCTCCTCGGGTTGAGATGTGCGTCGGGGATCGGGCCGCGTCGGCCCGAAACCGGGGATCGAATCGAATTGGACACGTTGCGCCAGGCCTGTCCCAGGGTACTTTCTGATAGGAAGTTCGAACTGCGGACGCTTCTTGCAGAGGCCTCCTAGATGGGGTCGGAGCACATGGGGTCGGAGAATCGCGCCGCATCGCCGATGCATCGGCGATGCTTTGGCGACGTCGGCGACCGTCGGCGTGGTGAAAATCGGGCTCCGCATCGAGCCGTATCGGCGATGCGGCGCGATCCTCCGTCCCCTTCTACTCCGACCCCAATGAGGGGGCCTAGACCTGTCGCCTTCCCCATTCCTCGACCCCCGACGTCGTGTCTCTTTCTCGTGGCGTGGATCGCCAGAAGTCTCGCCCCATCATTCCCCAGGACGGGTGTTGCATCCGGAGCAAGATGTTCACGGAGGATCGCGGGGGATTGAGGAGTCAGGGGCAACGCTCGGGAGGAGGGGGGGGAGGAGGGGGAGGAGGAGGGGGAGGAGGAGGAGGAGGAGGAGGAGGAGGAGGAGGGGGAGGAGGAGGCACAGGGGGGATGCATCGACGCCCCCCTCGCCCGCTGCTCTCCAAGAAGGGGCCCGGTGGCCCCCACGGCTGCGCAGGAGCGCGCGGATCTGCCAGCGGCGGCCCAACGCCACTCCGGCCCCGTGCCCCTCCCCTCCTGCCGTTGCCCCCTTATGGGCGATGCTGTCCCGGGAGGAGGGAGGAGGGAGGAGAAGGAGAAGGTGGAGGAGGAGGAAGGAGGAAGAGGGAGGAGGAGTAGGAGTAGGAGGAGGACGAGGACGAGGAGGAGGAGGAGGATCCTGGAGGAGGAGGAGGAGGAGGAGGGGAGGAGGAGGAGGAGGAGGAACAGGGAGGAGGAGGAGGAGGAGGAGAAGCAGGAGGAGGAGGAAGAGGAGGAGGAGGAGGAGGAGGAGGAGGAGGAGGAGGAGCCCAGCGACGGCCCCCCCGAGGCCGACGACGACCCCAGAAGCCTTGGAGGCCCCCCCGGGGCCCCAGGCCGTCGGGGCCCCCCGAGGAGGCCGACGGCCTCGGTCCAGCGGCGCCCCGGGGCCCGGCGAAGGCCCCCCGCGCGAGGCCGAAAGCGACGCCGGAAACCGTGGATCGGGTCGGGCACGTCCTCCTAGAGGCGGACTTCGGATGAACATGCCATGTGTGAAGGGGCCCTGGGACACACAACTAGATGCACACACAGATAAGAGGATTCTGCATATTTCCTCCCATATGTTATGTGTTTTTGTCTTTCCCCCAGTTCCCATAGTTGTCCATGTCTTCATGGGAGTGGACGATGAATTGTGTCTGTGTTTTTCCCATCCTGAATTTGTTCAATACATGCTCAGGCATAGCCAAAGATAGTAGAAACATCGTCCGCCGACTTTTTCGCTGTGTTCTACTTGTGGGTATTCCTCCTGTAGAGCTATGCTGCTCCCACCGTACTTAAGGACCACATCCCAGAAATAATTTCGAGCACCCAGAACAGTATCGAAACAACGTCGAACGAGTAATTATGGCCTCCCAGAGCCCGACGTATGAAAACCAGTCGGTTTCGATGCCCGACTTAACCTTTGGACTTAGGTCGGCCATGTCCCCCTACAGGCGGATTTTGGACGAAAAAAGAGTTACCCTAAAATACCCCCAAATGGCCAACAAATGCTCAAAGCATCGTCCTCATACTATTTTTTGGCTACATGTGGATATCTCCTGTAGAAGGACATGCCCGACTTACAGCCAAGTCGCTGAAATGAGAAACAGTTTGGGTAAGAGACGGGCTCGATATGCCGTAGGTCCTTATATGGCTTTTCCTCTAGCCTTCCTCGTGCACGCAGGCGCCTGTGGGGCCAAAAAGGAGCTTCGTACATTGTTTATCGTTCCTTCTTTCAGAAGCCCGACTGTAAACCTTTGGATCAAGTCGGGCCTGCCCCCCTACAGGGGGATTTTCGACGAACAATAAAACATACCCCCAAAATAATCAAAACATAGTCCCAAAACAGTATGGGGACTATTTTTTTAGTACTTTTTTGCATTTTGGGGGTATTTTTGGATTATGTTTTATTTGTCGTAGAAGATCCCCCTGTAGGGGGACAGGCCCGACTTAACCTTTGGACCCCCCCGAGGCCTCAGGCCAGCAGGGGCTCCGACTGCCCGGGCGAGGCGCGCCCAGGGCGCGCGAGCCACAGCAGCGCCGCCAGGGAGGCCACGGCCCCGCAGAGCGCCGCGACGCTGGCGCCCGCCTCGGCACCCGCGCGAGTGGAGGCCTCCTAGATGGGGGTCGGAGATGGAGGAGGAGGAGGAGGAGGAGGAGGAGGAGGAGGAGGAGGAGGAGGAGGAGTGTAGGGGCCGTAGGAGAGGAAGAGGAGGAGGAGGCAGGAGGAGGGAGGAGGAGGAGAGGAGGAGGAGGAGGAGGAGGAGGAGGAGGGAGGAGGAGGAGGGAGATGGAGGAGGATGAAGAGGAGGAGGAGGAGGAGGAGGAGGAGGAGGAGGAGGAGGAGGAGGAGGAGGAGGAGGAGCCGCCGGGGCCGCCGCCGCATCGGCGATGCATCCGCGATGCATCGGTGATGCACCGGCGATGCATCGTCGACATCGGCGGTGCATCGGCGACGTCGACGTGAAGCACATCGGGCCCCACATCGAGCCGCATCGGCGATGCATCGGCGATGCGGCGCGATCCTCCGACCCCATCTAGGAGGCCTGGGGTGAGAGGGAGGGCCCAAACCACCACAACCCAACCCGAAGCCCCAACTTTCGGCTTGGTGGGGGGACGGGTTCCACATGTGTGTTTTCAATGCTCCCCGACGCCCCCCCTCCTGGGAAGGGAGGGCAGACTAGGGCTTTCGGGTTGCGGTTGGGGACGTTTGGTGGGCGGTGGGACCTGGCGGCGCGCATGGGGGAGGAGGGAAGGCATCTCGGGAGGCTGCTTCTTTGAAGGCGCCTGCCCTGCAACTACGACGAGGCCCGCGCCTTTTGAGAAGCCGAGAGGCCCCTCCTCCTGCCCCCCTTCCGCGCGAGCGCCGACGACCGGCTTCCCCTCGCGCCGGGGCGCGCCCCCGGAGGCACGGGCGGGAGTCGAGGAGCAGATCGACAACGCCAGGAGCACAAGCTTTCGGAGCTCCGCGCAGATCCCTCGGACCGGCGCTGGGGGCCCCCCTGCACGGCGCGCTCCGCGCGCCCGCGAGGGGGTGCCCAGCGCCGATCCGAGGAAACCCGCGCGGAGCTGCAAGAGTTTGTGCCTCTGCCGTATATGTGTGTGGTTCGACGGGAAGGGCCACGGCCAGCAGATGTCGACGCCGCAGAGGCTGTGACCCACGGGCTCCCCTGGTTCAGACACGTGGAAGGTGGCAGAAGCCGCCGCGCCCGTGTGGACGGCGCCGGCACCACGGCAGACCCCCGGCAAGCCCTGCGCCCCGCGCCCCGAGCAGACGAAGCCGGCACCGTGGGCAGACCCCACGGCGAAGCCGCCGCGCCCGAGGCGGTGGCCAAGGCGCCCCCCTCGAGACCGAAGGGCCGCGCGTCGGCACCGACGGCGAGGCGGCCTGGCAGGACCGATTGACTTCTGCCCGCGACGGGAGGCTTCTCTGGCCGTGGCTTCTCTCGGCCTCTGGGGGCCCAGCGAGGGCCCCAGGGGCGGTCAACAAGTGCAACGCCTCCGGAGGAACAGGATATGTGTGGAATGCCGTCTTTTAGCCTCCCGGGGCCCGGGGGCCCTCGAGCAACGGCTCGGGAGGAGAGGCCGGGCGCAGGGGAACTTCTGGGGGCACCGCGTAGAAGACGTCAGGGCATCGCAGGTCTCGGCCTCGGGATGCGACAGGCAGAAGTTCGCTAGAAGTACAAGGAATGGAGGAGGAGGAGGAGGAGGAGGAGGAGGAGGAGCAGCAGCAGGAAGAGGAGGAGGAGGCAGTAGGAAGAGGAGGAGCAGGAGGAGGAGGAGGAGCGCACGCGGCCGCGAGGGGGGCGCGTCCGCGACATGGCAGAAGTGACCATGCCTGGGACACTGGATGAAGGACTGGAGCGAGACCGAGGCAGATGGGGCACGGTGGCCAGGCCTGGGGAGGCTTCCCATACGGAACCGAACTTTATACACCAATGCTTTTTTCCCGTCCGCACTGAGATTCGCACAAGAAAACGGATTATGGCGTATACGGCATCCTGGTGTATACATCTTCTGTTGCTTCCACGGGAAAACGGGGAAACAAGTATACACCACACCACCCCGACGTCGTCCCCGACCCTCAAAACTTCCTGGGATTGAACAACAGCCCGCCACTAGTAATGTATATGCTTCAGTTTCCGATCCCAGACATGCGACGTCCTGATGTTTCCAATGCGGGGCCCCTGGAAGTCCCGACCCCTTCCCCGGGACCAGTCTTTCATCCTGAGTCCTTGTTTGACGGTCCCGAGGCCCGGCGAGGCCACCCGAGGCCGAACATGGCGAAAAACCGCCCGTCCTGATTTTGTTACGACGCGATCATGTCTGGGTTCAGAGCTGGCCAGGGCCGCGGCCGGGGCCGCGGCCGCCGTGGTCGCAGTCGCGGAAGAGGCCGCACGTTCAGGGCACGAAGCGTATGAGGAGTGTGCCAAGATAGTCTCGTGGAACACCATGCGTCTGGGAGCGTCTGCGGAGTGCGCCGGCAGGGGCCGCGGCGGCGTGCGCTCACGCCCAGAGAGGTCGCCAATGATTGCCCTCCCGAACGACCGGGGCGCGAAGCGTGTGGAGGGGTGTGCCGGCAGGGATGTGCGGCGGCGTGCGCAGTACGGTGCAAGGCACGAACTCCCCCCCTGCGAAATGCACGGATTCCCCCCCGCTGCGAACTCATACTCCCCCATCTGCGAATCAGGAAACGATGCGTTTCGCGGTGGGGGGATTCGTGCCTCGAACGGCGCAGCACCACCCTCACTGGGGTCGTTGAGTCGGAGCGGTCTGTGGGGGCGCGAAGCGAGTGAGAAGGGTGTGCCGAAGTGGGCGCGGGGCGGCATGCACACCCAGACCGGTGAAGCGTCGGATGTGTATGCCAAAGTGGGCGTGGGGTCGTATGCGCAACACCGCCGCTGAGGCATATGTAGAGCTCCATATGGGGCACGAAGTGTGCGAGGGGTGCGTCAGCGTGAGGGGTCATGCGCGACACGCCACCTGGGGCCGTAGTCAGAGCTCCCTGTGGGGGCACGAAGCGTGCGAGGGGTGCGCCGAGCTGGGCACGAGGCAGCATGCGCACCACCCACACTGGGGTTGTCGAGGATGAGCTCCCTGCTGGGGCACACAGCGTCTGACGGCTGTAGCGACATGGGCGTGGGGCCGCATGCGCAAAACGCCCAATGTGGCCGTATAGGTGGAGCTGTCTGTGGGGGCACGAAGCGTCCAGGGGGTGTGCCGACATGGGCGTGGGGCGGCATTTGCACCACACCCGCTGGGGATCGCTACTGGGACACGAAATGTGCGATCGGTGTGCCGACATTTACGCGGGGAGGAATGGGCATCACCACCACGGGGTCCGTAAATATGTGCTCCACATGGGGACACGACGCCGTGCGAGGGGTATGCTGGATTAGGCGAGGCTTTGCCACGCGCAACACTCCCACCAGAGCCGTTGAGGTGAAGCTCCCTGTGCGGCACGAAGCGTGAAGGGCGTTTGCTGACATAGGCATGGGGCGGCACGCGCAACGACGGCGTCGTAGGTGGAGCTCCCAATCGGGGTACGAAGCGTCTGAGGGTGTGCCAGAGTTGACGTGGGGCAGCATGCGCAGAACGTCCAACGTGGCCGTACAGGTGGAGGTGTCTGTGGGGGCACGAAGCGTCTCAGGGCAGTGCCGACATGAGCGTGGGGCGGCATGCGCACCACCTCCACTTGGGCCGTGGGCGGACCTCCCCAAAGAGACACGACGCGTACGAGGGGAGTGCCGACAATGAAATGCGGACGGAGAGGAGGAGGAGGAAGAAGAAGGAGAGGCGCGGCGCTGCGAAATCAAAAAGAACACTCAACAGCACAAGAGGGTCGGGAACAACTTCGCTAACTTAAATAAGCGTTCGGAGGTGTGCGCGGATGCTTTCGTGTCGGCGCCAGTCCCCCCCCCCCTGGCGTGTGCCGCCAGAGCCGACCAAAGAAATCCGTGCTGACCTCTGAAAGCGATATGCTTATGCATTGCGTTGTTTCTCGGATATCGATCCTCTTCCACCTCCTCCTCCTCCTCCTCCTGCTACTTCAACTACTACTACAACTACTACGACAACGACGACGACGACTACTACGACGACGACGACGAACACTACTACTACTACTACTACTACTACTACTACTACTACGACGACGACGACGACGACGACGACGACGACGACGACGACGACGACTACGACTACTACTACGACTATTACTGCTACTACTACTACTACTACTTCTTCTTCTACTGCTACTGCTACCGCTACTACTACTACTACTACTACTACTACTGCTATTATCACGACTACTGCTACTACTATTACTACTACTACTACTACTACTCCTACTACTACTACTACTCCTACTATTCCTGCTCCTACTACTACTACTACTACGACTACTACTACGACTGTTTCGACTACTACCCCTTCTACTGCTACTGCTACATCTACTACCACTACTACTGCTGCTACTACTACTGCCACTACTGCTACTGCTGCTGCTACTGCTACTACTCGTGCTGCTGCTACTACTACTACTACTACTACTGCGACGACTACTACTACTACTACTGCTACTACTACTACTACTACTACTACTACTACTAATGCTACTACTACTTCTACTACTACTACTACTACTACTACTACTACACCTACTACGACTACTACTACTACTACTACTAGTACTACGACCACTGCTACTACTACTACTACTACTACTGCTACTACTACGGCTACTACTACTACTACTACTACTACTACTACTACTAAAACTACTGTTTCTACTACTATGTCTACTACTACTACTACGACTACTACTACCACTACTACTGCTACTACTACTACTACTACTACTACTACTACTATTGCTACTACTACTTCTACTACTACTACTACTACTACGACTACTACTACTACTACTACTCTACTAGTACTACTGCTTGTACGACGCCTCCTACTACGACTGCTGCTGCTGCTACTAATACTACTACTCCTGCTACTGCTGCTGCTTCTACTACTGGTCCGACTACTCCGGCTACTAAAAGCCCACTACAACTAGTGCTGCTGCGACTACTACTCTATTGTTACTACTACTACGACGACGACGACTACTACTACTACTACGACTACTACTACGACTACTACTACGACTACTACTACTACTACTACTACTACGACAACTAGTGCTACTACAACTACTACAACTGCTGCTACTACGACTACTACTACTACTATCACTGCCACTACGACGACCATTGCAACTAAAACTCGTACTACTACTACTCCGACTACTTCTACTACCACTTCTACTACTACTACTACTACTACTACTACTAGTACTACTACTACTACTGCTACTACTACGACCACTACTACTACCACTACCACGACTACTACGACTACTACTACTACTACTACTACTACTACTACTACTACTACCACAAATACTACTACTACTACTACTACAACTACTACTACTACTACTACTACTACTACTACTATTACCACTACTACCACTACTACTACGATTTTCACTATAACTACTACGACGACTACTACTACTACTACTACCACTACGACTACTATTACTACTACTACTACTACTACTACTACAAGTAATACTCCTACTACCACTACTACGACTATTACTACTCCTACTACCACAACTACTACTGCTACTACTGCGACTACTGCTGCTACTACTACTACTACGACTACTACCGCTACAACCACTACGACGACCACTGCAACTAAAACTCGTACTACTACTATTACTACTACTACTACCACTGCTACTTCTACTACTACTACTACTACTACTACTACTACTACTACTACTACTACTACCACTAGTACCAATATTACTACGACTACGACTACTACCACTACGACTACCACTACTACGACTACTACTATTACTACTACTACTACTACTACTACTACGACTACTACTATTACTACTACTACTACTACTACTACTACGACTACTACTACTACTACTACTACTACGACTACTACTACTGACTACTACTACTACTGCTACTACTACTACTACTACTACTACTACTACTGCTACGACTACTGCTACGACTACTACTACGCTACTACTACTACTACTACTACTACTACTACTACTACTACTACTACTACTACTACTACTACTACTACTACTACTACTACGACTACTACTACTACTACTACTACTACTACTACTACTACTACTACTACTACTACTACTACTACTACTACTACTACTACTACTACTACTACTACTACGACTACGACTACGACTACGACTACTACTACTACTACTACTACTACTACTACTACTACTACTACGACTACCACTACAACAACTACTACTACTACTACTACTACTACTACTACTACTACTTATTTCGCGGGTCCGCTCCCATTTTTTGGGTTGGCTGTCGACCCCCCTGTTTTGGGGTTCCTCGACCTCCCTTTCGTGAAAAGATCGTGGGTTGCTATGGGTGTCCCAAGTCGACGCTGTCCGTGGCTCCTCGCGCCGCTCTGGGGCTCCTGGAGCCTGCGCTGGCCTCGTGGGGAATGCGCTGGAAGGGGGCGCGGGGGCCTCGTGACGGGTGATTCCTGCATCCTCGTCCTCGTCGGTCCTCCTTGATCCTCGTTCCCTCCTCTGCGCCGATCCCCCTCGATTCTCGATCCTCCTCCTCGATCCTCACAAGTTTTCCTTGATCCTCCTCGATCCCCCCCGATCCCCCTCCTCGATCATCGACACTCGGTCCTCTTGGGGAGGGGGCGCTTGCCTGCCGCGGAGTGCTCGCCAGCCCCTTGGCGGCCAGCGTCGCAGGTGGCCGCGCGGCCTCGTGGGGGGAGCGAGCGGAGGGGGGAGGGAGGGGGGAGAGGGAGGGGGAGGGGGCAAGCTAGGTGCGCTCGCGTCATATCTGACGTCCTACCCCTCCCTCCCATCCCTTACCATGGCGCTGATTTTCTCTATCCGCGGACGCGTGTCGCAGCGGACCTGTGGCTCCGCGCGCGCGTGCGTAACTAGTGGGTGGTGGTGCGCGTGCGTGCGTGCGTGCGTGCGTGTGTGCGTGGTTGGTGGTGGTGGTGGTGGTGGTGGTGGTGGTGGTGGTGGTGGTGGTGGTGGTGGTGGTGGTGGTGGTGGTGGTGGTGGTGGTGGTGGTGGTGGTGGTGGTGGTGGTGGTGGTGGTGGTGGTGGTGGTGCGGCGCGGTGGTGGCGGGCGGATGGGCGCGCGAGAAAGAGGCCCGCGCTGGGGCGAGAACGCCATCCTGAACGACGGAGGCCAAACACCGATCCGAAAATGAGGCCCACGCTGCAGCGGGAGCACGATTCGGAACGATTCGGGAGCAGAAATGAGGCCGGCGCCTCAGCGAGAGCAGCATTTTAGAAAAAAACACAAGCGAAAACCCAACTCCGGGGAATCCTGTGTGTAAAAAAACAATACGCGGGGGGGTGCCGAATATCTTCCGGACGCCATCAGGGGAAGTGGGAGAGTATTTTCATATTGTGTAATTGTGGAGGGGGGAGAGGGATGGGGGCGGGGGAGAGGGGGAAGCAGAGCAAGCCAGGTGAGCTCGCGCCATAGTCGACATCCCGTCCCTCCCCTCCGTGCCTTCCCGCCGCGCTGACTTGTTCTATGCCCGCGGACGCGCGCCATAACCGACCTGGAAGAGGGGGAATGGTACCGAGTATCGAGCTATGCTTAATAGCAAGAAACAGTACACGCCGGTCGTAAGAAGTAGGTAGAAACATGAAGTAGGAAGGCGGATAAAGTATGTTGGGTTCGGGCCCGCCCAAATAATAACACACAACAGCCAAAACATATCGATTATTCAAGTAGGAAGGCGCTTGAAGTAGGTTGGGTTCTGGGAATCCAGAATTACCTAATTTCAACGACTGGCGTGTACTGTCGGCGTCGCTGCTCAGCTCTGCTGAAAAGTTTGGGCCACCAGCCCGCCGCAAACCTGCTGAGGCATTCGCGGTGGTGGGGCTTCACAAGATCGTCACAGCGATCGGCGAACCTCGCAATTGCTGGTCTCCGAAACAGCGGCAAGCTTCACAAAACCGGAATCCCAAGGACCGCTCGTTCTGTGCACCCACCCCCCAGCAATGTGGAGCCGCCACCACCGCAGCAATGCACGCAAATTCACGATCGATGGTGCGAGGGGCGAAGCACTCAGACTCCCAAGGCTGCTTGGGCACCTTCTGGGTGGCGGTCCCGAAGCAAATGGAGCGCTGCCGCTTCCTGTCGCACGACCGATGCTGGGACATGAAAGCAGCGACGGCAGCAGGGGCAGGGGGGGAGGGTAAGGCCCGTCCTGCCCGCTGGGCCGTTCCCACCCGACTCCTCGGCCACCAGCGTGTTGCAAGTGGCCCGCAATAGGCGCGACCCGATGAGCTGCGCCTTCTTCCGTGCTCGGCGGGCGGTGGCCCAGAACCTGGCCGGAAACGCGCGCGCGCGGTGCGCCGCCCAGGCGGCAAGGTGATCCACCACGAGGTTCCCGAGTCTGTCCACTAAGGCACTCCCTGCTCCACGGCCTGCTCTGGCGTAAAATCTAGTTGGCAAGCTGCGTCGAGACTGGACTGGCTCTTCTAGAACGACTATTCCTTGCAGGTTGCCACAAGTCAGCATTTGGCCCTGAAGGTCGCTCGAACAAGTGGTTGTAGAGGCCAACTGCATCGGCATCGCAGACCACATCGTAACAGACAGCGCCGACCGTGCACTTGAATGCCAAAAGGAAACCCCGAATCTCGTCCGTGGCACAATCTGCCGTCGCCCAGCCAATGGGCCACTGACGGACGCTCTGATTCTGCATGGTGCAGATTCTGTCGGTACCACATTCAGATAGCCAAAGCGACTGAACCGAGGGTCGCTGGTGTACTAACCCGCTGGAATAGCCGAGCACGGCGAAGGGGTCGTCATGTGCGCCCACCCCAAAACGCACTTCCAATGCCTCCGAATTGCCCCCCCATGATGATCCAGTCATCCTGGAAAGGAAGATGAGGAGGAGGAGGAGGAGCGCGAGTATAGGGTTCAGGCATCACGCCTCGCAACCACATGCATGGTTCGGCATCCGCCTGTGCGAAAGTTGCACTGGGCAGGCATTCGCTATCCTTGTGCGCTTTGGGCCCATTCATTGGTGCCACACCAACCCAGACGCGACGAACCGCCGCCTGTTGTCTCTGCCAGCCCCTGGGCCACAGCGCATCCCGCTCACACTTGACTCCCTCCTGCCGCCGAGGGCGTAGCCAAGCGCAGCCACAGGCAACGGGGACCAAAAACTCGGACAAACACTAATACACGTCGGTCATCTCGAATCGTGCTCACTTCTAGCTGTGCTCGTCTCTAATTGCTCCTGGCCCCCAAGTGGCCGGGATGATGCCCAGGATGGAACAATTAGAAACGAAAGGATCTTGGCCCCCCCAGAAAATCAAAGACCTTTCGGAGGGTTAGAGGTTAGAGAAGGAACAGTGTGTAATCCTTGGCTCGCCGAGACCTCGCGATCCGGCGCTCTGGCGAAGCGTAGCGTTCTCAGCGCCTGCCCCCTCCACAGCAGCTGGGCCGACGCTCGCCCCTGCGGCACGGCACGCGCCGTGGCTTCTCGAAGCCCCCCCCATACCAAAAAGGGTGGGCCGCCCTCGAAAAGTCGGGAGCGGCCAAGAGGGGGGTGTCCAAGAGGGGGGGGTGCAAATCATGACCGGCGGCATGTGCGCGGCCCAGCGGGGGGGCGAGGGACGTAACGAAATAAGAGGAGGCGCCATGAGATCTGGGGAAATATCATTGCCCCCGCCATGACATCCACCCCCCCCTAGTCATCACCCCCCTCTTTGCCGGCCACCGGACAAAAGGTGGGCCGCCCTCGAAACGATGACCTCTCGCGTCGTCCGGTGGGAACTTCCCGTCGGCAAGACAGCCGGGGACTAAAAAATCCAGGGCAATCCATGGAGACGGCGCCATGGGAGCCCCCCCGACTCCCCAAGACATGGAGGGTAAGAGCCCTGGTGGCGCCTCTGACCAGCCGGGAGCGCTGCCCGGGATCCGATGCTTCAAGCCCTGCAGAAATCTTGGCCAAGCTCTGTAAATAGTCGGCCGAATGCTCGGTTTCGTTGCCACTGACCCAGCCATAACTGCAGGCAGGCTCGCGGGAGCGTGTAGATGAGGTCCTCTCCAGAGCACCGAAGGTCAGTCAGAGTCGTTAGGAGGCGCCCTTTACAGCCCCTCCAACACAATGCCCAGAACTGACACCTGACACCGACATCTGGTCATAGCGGACCTGAACAGTTACGCCGTGCAAATGATGCGCGCGAAGCCCTGCCGCGCGAGCTTGCAAGTGGCGCGAAACTGGCGCGCTGCTCGCGCAAACCCAATCACTTTCGCATGCGCCGCGCGCGCCTTCTGCAGCACACCCTCAGGTCTATCCGGGCGGGCGCGGCGGCGGACCCCTCCCGAATGAACTCCCGTGTGCTCAGCGTGGCGCACAGGTACCCAGCGGGCGCGCGGCACACGTGCGCCGTGCCCGGCGCCGCCGCGAGGCCTTGCCGCCACTGCGGGCTGGTGCAGTTCCGCACCTCGTCCGGCCGAACACTTCGCCCGCGCCGACTCCCATCGGGGCCTGCTGTTGGAGAAGTCGCACCTCGCACGGGCCACATGCCTGTCCTCATTGGATGGGCTGCCGTCCAGCGCCGCGGCCTCGCACTCCCTTCCGGTATAGTGGGCGGCCTCCGCCTCACCGCCGATCCCGGGCCCTCGCCAGCGCGCGTGCAGGGGCGAGGGCGGGGGGTCAGGTGCGCGGCACGCCCTGGCAGCACTCGCCCGCAGCACTGCGCTGACTGGCGCCAGGCCCAACGCGTGTCTCGACCCACCCAGAGGAAATCTGCCAGCACGGCGTCGACGCCCCGAGGAGGAAGGCGGCCAGCATCGGACAGCACGTCGCAATGCACCGCCAGTTGCGCAAGAGTGAGACTCCGAAGCCGTCCACCGCCTGCACCACCCCGCTACAATCGGTAGCCCCCGACTCCCAGAAACCCGACGTCATGTTTTTTACATAACGTCGACCCTCAGAGGTCTCCACCCATTCCCTGGGACCGAGTTTTCATCCTGAGTCGTTATTTGACGGTCCCGAGGTCCGGTATAAGGGCCTCCAGAGGCCGAAAATATGGAAACACCTCCCGTCCTGACTTTTTCGTTGCCCGAGGGGGTCTGGGCTTGGCGCATCGAGCCCGCCCTGAACATCCGTGGAGCTCCCAGGCCCAACGCGCAGGGCTCCAGCTGCCCGTCGTTGCTTTTGGTGGGGCCGCCAGCCCCCCCCCCCCGCCAAGGGGCGGGAACTCGCCCCGCGGCGGGGCCTGCCCCAGCCGGGCCCAGCCCAGCGCCCAAGCGAGGAGTCGCGCCTGCCAGCCCCCCGGCACCGTCCCCAGACCCCCGACGTCATGAATTTTCATGTGGCGTCGACCCGCGGGGGTCTCGACCCCTTCCCCTGGACTCGTGTTTCATCCTGCGTCGTCTCTTGACGGCCCCGAGGGCCGGCGAGGGCCTCCAGAGGCCGAAAGCACGGAAAAGCCTCCCGCCGTGAGTTCTTCATTGCCCGAGGGGGTCTGGGCCTCTCCCCCCTGGCCACTGCCGCCCCGCCGCAGGGGCGGGCTCGGGGGGGCCCTGGCCGCTGCCTGCGCCCTGCGACGGGCACCTCCGTGCAGGCGGCGGCCTGGGCCCACGACCGTATCTCCACCCCTCGACTTATGCAGCTCCCATCGCACTTAAGGGCGCAACCCCAACAATAGTATCGAGCACCCAGAAAAGTATCAAGAACAGTGTCGAACGAGGATCGCCTCCCAGAGCCCGACACGTGAAATCCTGCCAGTTTCGGTACTCACTTGGTGCTCGAAATTCTTTCTGGTGCTTCAGGCGGGAGCAGGCTGGAACACCAGAACCCCGCGACCCCCTCGGGCAGTGACACACATCGTGGCGCGGAAAGCTCCTCCATATCTTCCTGGGGCTCTGGAGGCCCTTGCCGGGCCTCGGGGCCGTCAACGAACACGACTCGGGATGAAACACCGGTCCTGGGGACGCCGCCTCCGCCGCCGCCGCCGCCTCCGCCTCCGCCTCCGCCTCCGCCTCGGCCTCCGCCTCCGCCTCCGCCTCCGCCTCCGCCTCCGCCTTGGTCTCCGCTTCCGCCGAGCCCTCCGAGGGTCGACGCTGACGACTATTCGCTACTCACTACTCCCTACTCACTACTCCCTCCTCCCTCCTCACTACTCACTACTCACTCCTCACTACCCACGACTCAATACTCACTACTCACTAAGCACTACTCACTACCCCCTACTCGCTACTCACTACTCATTAACCACTACCCACTATCCACTACTCCTACACAATACTGACTGCACAGTACTCAGTACTCACTACTCGCTACTCCCCTACTCGCTACTCAATACTCACTACTCACTCCCCGCTACTCCCTATTCACTACTCACTACTTACTACATGCCACTCACCAGTCACTACATAGTCTCCAGTCACTAGTCACAACTGACTAGTCACTAGTCACTAGTCGCTACTCACTAGTCACTACACACTACCCACTACCCACTACTCACCAATCGCTACTCACTACCCACTATACGCTACCCACTTCTTACTACTCACTGCTCACTACTCCCTACTCCCTACTCCCTACTCAATACTCACTACTCGCTACTCCCTACTCGTTACTCACTAAATCACTACCCACCACCCACTACTGACTACTCTCTACTCACTACTCACTACTCACTACGCCGTACTCGCTCCTCACTACTCACTTCTCCCTACTCCCTACGCGCTACTCACTACTCACTATCCACTGTCATTGCCCACTACTCTCTATTCATCACTACTCACTACTCACTACTCACTACGCAGTACGTACGACTCAGTACTCACTACTCACTACTCACTACTCGCTACTCACTACTCGCTACTCACTACTTACTACTCACTACTCACTACTCACTACTCTCTATCTACGCACTACCCACAACTCACTACTCACTAATCACGACTCGCCACCCACTACTCACTACCCACTACTCACTACCCACTACTCATTACTCCCTACTCCCTACTCTGTACTCACTACTCGCTACTCGCTACTCACTACTCACTACTCACTACTCGCCATTCAGTACTGATTTGTCAGTACACACTACTCACTATTCACTACGCACGACTCCCCACTCCCTACTCCCTACTCCCTACTCGCCACTCACTACGCACTACTCACTACCCAATACTCACTACTCACTACGCACTAACTCACTACTCACTACTCACCACTTCCTACTCCCAACTCCGTACTCCCTGCACGAGGGGGGGGGTGGGGTCCGAACCCCCCCCCCTTCCAGCGCCAAGGGGGGGAGGGAGGGGGGGGTCCGGACCCCCCCCTTCAAGGGAGGGAGGGGGGGGAGGGCGGGGAGGGGGTTCCGGACCCCCCCCCCCTTGAAGGGGGGGAGGGGGGGGGGTTCTGGACCCCCCCCCTCCCCCTTTAGTGTATTCAGGGAGATCCACTGGCGCACTTTCCTCATTATCATCCTCGTCCTCATCCTCCTCCTCATCAGCATCGTCCCCATCATCAACATCATCACCAGCACCATCCTCCTCGTCGTCATCATCATCATCAGCAGTATCATCATCATCATCGTCACCATCATCATCATCATCATCATCATCAGCAGCACTATCATCATCATTATCATCCTCCTCCTTCTAATCCTCATCCTCATCCAGGCTCATCATCATTCTCATCCTCATCCTCATCCTCATCATAATCCTCATCCTCATCCTCATCCTCATTCTTATCATCCTCCGCCTCCTCATCATCATCATGAATAATCATCATCATCAGCAGCATACTCATCATCATCCTCGCCATCATCAGCAGCATCAGCATCAGCATCATCATCATCAACATCATCATCACCAGCATCAGCATCAGCATCAGCATCAGCAGCATCATCATCACAACCACCACCATCATCACCATCATCATCATCAGCATGATCATCAACATCAGCATCAGCATCAGCATCAGCATCAGCAGCAGCATCAGCATCAGCATCAGCATCATCAGCATCAGCATCAGCATCAGCATCAGCAGCATCATCATCAGCATCATCATCATCATCTAAGCATGATCATCATCCTCAGCATCCTCAGCATCCTCAGCATCAGCATCAGCATCAGCATCAGCATCATCATCATCATCATCATCATCGTCATCATCATCATCATCATCATCATCATCGTCATCGTCATCGTAATCGTCATCGTCATCATCATCATGATCATCATCATCATCATCATCATCATCATCATCATCATCATCATCATCATCATCATCATCATCATAATCATCACCATCGTCATCCTCATCCTCAGCAGCAGCATCATCGGCAGCAGCAGCAGCAGCAGTATCAGCAGAAGCAACATGACCTCCCCCTCCTCAGGTCCTCCCTTCTCCTCCCTGGCCCCCTCCCCCCTCCGCAGCGCGCCTGCAGCTCGCCCGCGCCGAGCTCCAGGCTCGCCCCGGCGGACCGGGCCTCGGGGCCCGCGAGAGGGATTTCCGCGCAGAGAGGGGCCACGGTCGCGTCGGACGGCAGGGGCAGCAGGGGGGGGGGGGGAACAGCAATTTTGGGGGTCGACGGCGCCCCGCCCCGGAGCGCAACCTCTCCCCCCCCCCCTTACGATCGGTGCCCCTGACCTCCTCGGGCACTCCGCCCTCTCCCCCGACGGTGCCCCCTAACCCCCACCCCCCCGGCGGTCCCCCCGAAGACTTGCCCGCTCCTAGCGCATGCCCCCCGAACGGGCACCCCCTGAGCGTATCCCCCCTCCTCAACGCTGCCCCTGACCTCCTCGGGCCCTCTCCCCCGCTCGCCCCCACGGAGGTCCCCCCCGCAGCGCGCCTGCGGCCCACCTCCGCCGTGCCGCCCGCGGGCCCTGCGGCCGGCGAGAGGGGCCTCCGTGGAGGGGGGAGCGGGACGGGTCGGGTCGGACGAAGGGGGGGGGGGATGGCTGGCAAGGGGGGGGGCGGCGAGAACGCCCAGCATGCGGGCACGCTGTCCAACAACACCTGTCGTCCTGGACCAAGCGTGGCCGCTGGTGGGCAGGCGGCCTCCCGTTTCAAATAAACGGCGCCCAAGGCGACACCGACAGCGCGCCAGGGGCGGCGCCGGAGGCGCCGCCGGGGGGGCCCCACCGCGGATCCAAGAAATCCGCGCGGAGAGCCAAGAGCTTTTGTTTCTGGCGTTGTTTCTGCTTCGAGTTCAGGACGAACAGGGACTGCTGTCGGCCTTCGTACCCATTCCTTCGGTATCCGCTTCGGCCGTGCAGAGAATGCCACCTCATGTAGCCGACTTCCCAGGTGCCCCTCCCCCCCCCTGGCGCCAAGAGGAGCGGGCATGTCGAGGGAGGGCGCCCGGCGGCGGGGGGGGGAAGCAGCAGCAGCAGCAGTGCCACGCCGACGTGGGGAAGCCACCTGCGTGCTCATGTTGAGGGAGCACCCGGCCTTCGCACGGCAACGACCCAGGCATGCGACGCCCCCTGATGCCTTCAATGCGGGGTCCACGGAAGTCCCGACCCTCTCCGCGAGACCGGTCTCTCCTCCTGCGTCGTTGTTGACAGTCCCGAGGCCTGGCGAGGGCCCCCCGAGGCCGAGAACGGCCAAAAAGCGCCCGTCCTGACTTCTGTTTACGACGCGGTGAGTCGCTGTTGACGGTCCCGAGGCCTGGCGAGGGCCCCCCGAGGACGAGAACGGCCCAAAACCGCCCGGCCTGACTTCTGTGTGCGACGCGATAAGTCGTTCTTGACGGTCCCGAGGCCTGGCGAGGGCCCCCGCGAGGCCGAGAACAGCCCAACAGCGCCCGGCCTGACTTCTGCTTTTACGACGCGATAAGTCGTTGTTGACGGTCCCGAGGCCTGGCGAGGGCCCCCGAGGCCGAGAACGGCCAGAAACCGCCCGTCCTGACTTCTGTTTGCGACGCGGAGGAGGAGGATGAGAGGAGGAAGAGAGGAGGAAGAGAGGAGGAGGAGGAGGAGGAGGAGGAGGAGGAGGAGGAGGAGGAGGAGGAGGAGGAGGAGGAGGAGAGCATGTCTGGGGAAGGAACCGGCACGCGGACGGGCTGCCGACGGCCGCGGGTCTCTGCTGCCCTCCCTCCTGCCATCCCGAGGGGTCTCCGCGGGGGGCCCTCCGCGGGCAAGGACAGCAAAATCCTGTCGGGAGGCTCCTCTCGTTACTTTGGGCGTCCAGGGGCTCTTGCCGGCCCTCGGGCCCGTCAAAAACCGACTCGGGAGGAGAGACCGGTCCTGGGGAGTGGGTCGGGACCTCTTTGTTTTCTCTTTGTTTTCTTTGGTTGTTCTTACTTTTTTATGTTTTTGGGGAGTGGGTCGGGACCTCTGCGGGTCGACGCTGTGCAAGAGCCATGGCGCCGGGTTTTCTTTCATTGCAGGCCGCCTCCGGAGCCCTGGGGGCCTCTGCGATGCGGGAGGCGCGGGCGAGCAGGTCCACGCCCATCTGCATGAACGCGTCCGGCACGTCGATCTGCAGCCACGCGTCGGCGATCAGCCTGGGGCTCCACGGAGAGAAGGGCCCCAGCTTTTCCTCCACCGCTTTGGCCTCCCGGGGGCGCTCTCGTCGCCACGGTGGCACCCGCGCCCCGAGATCCTGCCCAGACCGCGCTCCGGGCGAGGTCCTGGGGCCGATTTGGAAAGGGGGGCGATCTGTGGCCCACACGGGAAGCCCCGCACCCCAAACAGAGTGCAGTCTCGTGGGGGGCGCAACTTCAGCCGCGCTTTGCTGGCCGTCCGCGGGTAGACGCGCCCCCTTTCTGCTGCCGCCTGCCTTCCACGCGAGGCCCCTCGTGGAGCGCCCCACTGAGGTCCCCTAGATCTCCAGGAATCACGAGGTACATGGATGTACATGCATACGTCATATATGATATAACGATGCACACGTTTGTATACTGCCTGTATATTTGCATACATGTAAACATGTATGCATGTGTGATTGTGTCGTGTAGGTGCGCATGTCTGAATCTATGTGTGTACGTGCATGTGTGTGTATGTCTGTATGTATGCATGCATGCACACACGCATGCACGTATCTATGCATGCATGCAGCCATGCGCGCACGCATACATGCATGTATGTGCGTGTACATGTATGCATGTATGTGTGTACGCATTATGTATGCATGCATATGAGTGTGCATTGATGTGTCTATGTACTTATATATGTGTGCACGTATGTTTGTCTGCCTGTCGGTGTATGTATGTCGTTAGGTATGCATGTATGTATGTGTGTATGTATGTATGTATGTATGTATGTATGTATGTGTGTATGTATGTATGTATGTATGTATGTATGTATGTATGTATGTATGTATGTGTGTATGTATGTGTGAATGTAGGTATGTATGTATGTATGTATGTACGTACGTACGTATGTATGTATGTATGTTTGTATGTATGTATGTACGTACGTACGTATGTATGTATGTATGTGTGTATGTATGTATGTATGTTTGTATGTATGTATTTATGTATGCATGCGAGTATGTATGTATGTATGTATGGATGCAAGTATGTATGCATGTATGGCTGCGTGTATGTATACATGTAGGTGCGTATATCTGTCTGTCTGTATGCCTGTATGTACGTATGCATGTCTGTCTGTACGTGTGTATGGAGGTGTGTATGCGTGTGCGTATGTACGTATGCTGGTATGTCGGTGCGGATGTAGTTATGTATGTATATATGTATGTATGTAGGTAGGTAGGTAAGTAGGTAGGTAGGTCGGTAGGTAGGTAGTTAGGTTCACCAGATGTGTCTCTTCGTTTCATTTCCTGTCATGTCTCATGGGCAGGGTTTCTGAACGGGCTGGTGGGGATATGCCAAGCGTGAAGAATTATCCTAATTACGCTCACCACAACGAGCGCAAGCAGTAGCTCGATCCTCCCCGAGACAAAGAGAGAGGGAGAGAGAGAGAGAGAGAAAAACAAAAAACAAGAGAGAGAAAGAGAGAAAGAGACAGAGCGAGAGAGAGAGAGAGAGAAAGAGAATGATCGCAACAATTTGACGAGCCGAAGTCCGTCTGACGCGAGGGCCGCGAAAACCTTCCGCCGCCAACCTCATGTGACGGGAGGTGCCGCCTTGCGAACAGGGGTGGGGAGACTCGCCTCTCCCCTGGCGCGGTCCGTGGCGACCCCGGCCGGAAAGCAGACAGACGATACACGACGAGCGCTTGCCCGCGATCTCGGCCCCTGTGCGTTCATTTTTCGGCTGCACGCAAGAGTGACCCTGGGTAAGAGTGACCTTTGGTGCGCGGCTTTTTGGGGGCCGCGGCGGGACCAAATCTGGGCGCTCAAGCCGCTGTTCCTGCCTCGTTTTCAGCCAGCTGGGGACCCATCTGTGCCCGCACCAAAGGTCACTCCGGCGAAAGATCACTCTTACGTCTAGTCGACTTTTGTTCCCGCGCCCCCGGGGATCACCCGGGCCTGCCGCGAGCGGCCAGAGGGGACAACTCGTCCCGCGGGAGGGGAGCCGAAGGGCAACGTGGTCCTCTCCTCGATACTCCTGTGGTTTTCTCCTCGGTCCTCGTCGATCCCAATCTGTGGTCCTCGATCCTCGTCCATCCTCCTCGGTCCTGGACCCTCGAAACTCGTCGATCTCCCTCTTTTTCTCGATCCTCATCGTCCTCCTCCTCCTCCTCCTCCTCCTCCTCTTCCTCCTCGTCCTCCTCCTCCTCGTCCTCCTCCTCCTCCTCCTCCTCCTCCTCATGTCCCAGGGGCAACGTTCATTTTTTGGGGGGGACCAGCTCAGGGGGGAAACGTCGACCTGGGATCGGCCATACATCGCCGATGCATCGGCGACAGGCCCCCGATACCCAGCGAGTCCAGGTCCTCCTGGGCAGGGTGGGGCGATCCGACCCCCTCTTCGACGATCGAGGGGCGGCATAGGGGTCGATGCGCTGCCCCTGTGAGCATCATTACCCCCCGCTGTCGCTGCCTCTAAGAGACTCGGGTGTGCCGAACAGGGGGGCCAGGATGAGGTCGGGCAGATCCCCCAACAAGAATCAAAAATGGCTCGGAGTAGTACGAGACACGTCCCCTTGCTATATTTGGCCTATGTTTGAAGACTCCTCCTGTAGATGGACAGGCCCGACCCAAGGCCAGGACCGAGTTCGCCCGCGCCCCGCAACCCCTCGGCCCCCTGCGAGAAGTCGATGCGGGCATGCATGGCGCACTTCATCTTCACCACGGCGTGGGTAGGAGCCTCGGTGCCGCCAGCGGAGCACAAGACCCAGAACCCCGACATCATGCCTTTTCCTGACGCGGGACCCCAGAAGTCTCCACCCACTCCCCGGGACCGGTGCTTCAGCCCGAGTCGTTTTTTGGGCGGTCCCGAGGCCCGGTAAGGGCTCCAGGAGGCGGAAAACAGCGAAAAACCGCCCGTTGTGATTTTGATGTTTCGGAGGAGGAGGAGGAGGAGGAGGAGGAGGAGGAGGGGGAGGAGGAGGGGGAGGAGGAGGAGGACTCGCGGGGGTCTGGGTGGCGGGGCGGGCCTGCAGGAAGACCGCCCAACTGGGGGAAGCCAAAAGGTCCCGACGCCGCTGCGCTCCGGACCTCCGACCAGCGCGGCGACGGGGGCTTGCCGTCGCTCGGACGTCCATTTCCCGTGCGTTCTTCGGTTTCGTGCGTGTTTTTTTACTCGATGGTCGAGGATGGTCTTCAAGGATCCTTGCCGAGAAAAAATACACATGTCCAAGCGATGCCAGGGGGGTGACGGGCCGCGACGGCATCGCGAGCGCAGGGAGCTCAGGGCCCAGTAACCCTAGACACGCTAGACCTGGACACCCAACATCCCTCGAAACCGATGCTGCCAGACGGCGGCACGAACAAATTACTGCACGGCATCCTTTCCAGAAGAAACCCGGACACTGGCCCTAAAAGCCTGCAAGACCCCTGTAAACCCGGACACAAACCCGAATCCTGCAGCGCAGCAAACAAAGAACCCGGGGTGCACCAGACGGGCCCGGCAGCGGCGACGAGGGACGCGCGGCATGTTTCGGTCGGGCATGTCCCCCTACAGGCGGATTTTGGACGAACAATGCGAAATAGCCCAAACCGATTCAAGAAGGGCCCCCCCCAAAAAAAGGACTAGAAAAATCGCCCCCGACGCCGTGGAGACTTCCACGACGCGGACCCCCCCAGCGGTCCCCGAGGGCCAGCGAGGCTCCCAGAGGAGCCGAAAACAGCGAGGAACCTCCCGTCACGATCTTCGCACGTCCCGAGAGGCTCTGGAGCCACAGCTGCGGAGCAACAGATCGCGCCGTCGCAGATCTGCGCGCTCGCGCGAGGCGGCGCGCGCAGATCTGCGTGTCCACGGCAGGCGCGCGGGGCGGCGCGGGGGCTCCCGCTCTTCTCACCAGCGCGCGGGCGGGGGATGAGCGAGGAGGGGGAGGAGGAGGGAGGGGGAGGAGGGTAAGCGTGCAGGACGAGGAGGGGCGTATGATGATGATGATGATGATGATGATGATGATGATGATGATGATGATGATGATGATGATGCTGCGGATGACGACGATGCTGATGGCGGTGCTGCTGAAGATGATGCTGCTGATGATGATGACGACGATGATGATGGTGATGGTGGTGATGATGATGATGAGGATGATGATGATGATGATGAAGATGATGATGATGACGATGATGATGTGATGATGGTGATGATGGTGGTGATGATGGTGGTGATGATGTCGATGATGATGATGATGATGATGATGATGATGGTGGTGATGATGATGATGATGATGATGATGATGCTGGTGCTGATGACGACGTTGATGGTGGTGATGATGGTACTGATGATGGTGATGGTGATGATGACGTTGATGGTCTCAATGATGGTGGTGATGGTGATCATGACGATGGTGATGAGGTTGATGATGCTGGTGATGGTGATGATGTTGCTGCTGATGATGACGATGCTGAGGGTCGGGATGAGGATGAGGATGATGTTGCTGCTGCTGCTGCTGATTATGCTGATTATGATGATGACGACGATGATGACGAGGAGCAGAAAGAGGAGGAGGAAGAGGAGGAGGAGGAGGAGGAGGGACGAGAAAGAGGAGGAGGAGGAGGAGGAGGAGGAGGAGGAGGAGGAGGAGGAGGAGGAGGAGAAGAAGGAGGGACGAGAAGGACGTGGAGGATGGCGACGACGTGGGTGGCGCGACGCCACCCTCCTTGCGCCCCGGCGAGCCTCCCCGAGCCAGGGCCCCGCGTGGGCGGCGACGAGGTAGAACAGGGCGCCGCAGTAGTTCCCTTCGCAGTCCGCCGAGCCCATCTCGAGCGCCGGCCGCGGGAAGGCCCTGCCCGAAGGGGGAGGATTCTTTTTTTTGTTTCAGCGCCACTCTGGGAGAGGGCCCAGGGAGAGTCTCAGAACGCTTGTCGCTGCTCGGCTCGTTTTGCGCTTCGAGTCTTCTTCTGAAGGCACAGTTGTTATGGGTTCCCCCCCTCCTCCCGTGCTCATAAAGCTTTTCGGTCAAAGTGCCCCTCCCAGGGCTCGCACACTGTTTTTTGTCCAAGGGGGTGAAGGGAAGGGAAGGGAACACGCGAAGCACCAATCAATGCCCACAGCACGACGTCTGCAGAGTCGGGCTGCCGGCTGCCAGTGCACGCGACCACGTGCTACCCGCAAGGCCCGAACTAAAGACCCTCTGGACTGGGGCAGCGAGGCAGATGTATGTGAAGGGGCCCCAGGACACACAAATAAATACACACAAATAAAAATATTCTCCATATTTTCTCATTTTTTCTCATACTTTCTGGGTTTCTGTCTTCCCCCCCACTGCCCATATTTCCCTACATTTTCTGGGGAGTCGACGATTACTTGTGTCTGTGTTTTTTCCTCCTGAGTATGATGACATCGGCGCGGCTTGGGCGCCAAGCGCACTGGGCGGGGGAGACGGGCGGCGCAGGGACGGGAGAGGGCAGCCACGCGCCGAGAGCCCACCGTGCTCCAGGGTGGACCACGAGCGACGCACACGTCCGATCCGCGCCCCCGCGGTCTGGCCTCAGGGGCGCGCTCCCGCGGATGCCCGGATACGCCACTTGTACGTTGCGCGCGGGGACTCCGCTGAAAGACGCTCCGCATCCGCGGGGCCGCGGCCCAGGGGCCGGGCCCGCGGGGCCGCGGACGCGGACATCCGCTTCGCCCACGAGGTGGAGGGCGGAGGAGGGAGCTCAGAGCCCCGAGAGGTCCGGGCAGGGGGCGGCCAGGGACCACCGCCGACTCGGGCCCCCCCCCGCTCTGGCGCCAAAACTTCCCCGCACTGCGCTGCGCTCTGGCTCTCCCGGACCACGCTCTTCCGCGCCATCGGCGCTGCCGAAGGCCTCTCCTGGGCGCAGGAGCTCTTCCCCCTCGGCGGTCCCAGCTGGGTCCCTCCGGATCACGCCGGGGAGGCCCGAACAGGGCAGTGCCGCGGGGGCCGATCTTGTCTTGGCTTCAGGGGAGGTCCGGGTGCCGGCTTCTCTGCAGGCAGGCCTGCCCTCGCTTCGACTCCCGCCGACTTCCGTGTGCCCTCTGCCGCCTCCCGCCGGGGGCGAGGCGCCGGCTCCTCGTGCCCTCCCCGGGCTGCGGGCACCCCTCCTGGGGGGCGCCTCCTTTTTTAACGTGCCGCGTGCGCGCACGTCCTGTGGAGCGGCTCCAGGAAGTGCTGCACGTACTCGCCGGGCGTCCTGGCAAGGCCCACCGCGGCCGGGCCGCACCACTGGAGGTCCGGGGCCCACCAGCGCGCCTGGGGGGAGCTCTCCGTCGCGCAGCACGCAGGACGGGGCGGAGGCGGGAGGAGCAAGAGGAAGAGTCGAGCTATCTCGGTCGAACGCGCCAGCGGTCCCCACCCACTCCCACTCCCCATTCCAATCACTAGGGGACCACATGCGAACCCTACCCCTACCCCCGACGATTTCTGCGGGGGAGGGTGGGGTCGGGTTCGCATGTGGTCCCCTAACCACACAACAAGAGCCAATGCAGGCGCAGCTCGACGTTGGGACTGAAGCGCATTCCCACCCGTCAGACGGCGCTCGCGCACGGGCCAGCACGGGCCGCGCGCTGGCAAGAACGGGCCTCCCAGAACATCCCACCGCGCGGAGCTGCGGCGAGAGCACCACTCTGGCCCTCTCTCGCGTGCGGCCGAGTGTCCGATGAGAGCGCGAAGACAAAGGACGCGCATCGCCAAAGCATCACTGCCACGTTCACATGATGGGCCTGTTTCCCACCGCCAACACCAGAAGTTGGAGGGGGGAAGGAGGAGGAGGACGAGGAGGAGGGAGAGGAGGAGAAGGAGGCGGAGCAGGAGGAGGAGGCGGAGGAGGTGAAGGAGGAGGAGGAGGAGGAGGAGGAGGAGGAGGAGGACCCCCTCCCGTCCAACTTACGGTGGTGGCGGTGGAAAACAAGCACACACAATCGGAGCGGCGCAATCGGAGCGGCACGTGGACGAAGACAATACCTCGCCCGCTCGCGCGCGGCCCCGCTGCGAGTTTCCGGCAACATTCGGCGAGGGAAACAGATGCGCTGCGCCCGAGTGGCACCACGATCACTCGGAGGCGCGCAAACATGAATTAGCGATCCATGGGTTTGGTGCGCGGTTGCCAAATCCATGGATCGGGGGATGTGCCCTCCCCAAAATGCGGCCGGTGCCGCCTCGCTCGGCGGCGAAAATCCGCGGTTCCCCATGAACGGGGCCCGCCGTTAATCCACGCCCCCTTGATCCATGGTTGCGATCGCCAGACGCTATCTCGCGACCCGAGGGCGGCCTCAAGCCGCCCCCCGAGAGCCTCTGAGAGGCCCCGTGCCTCGCAGAGGAGGCCCTAGAGAAGGGCACCCCGCGAGGGCCCCGAGCTGGTATCCAAGAGGGTCGCACCACAGAGGATCCGCGAAGAGGCCTCGTCCTTCTTGAGTATCGTTGAAGCGATCCCCATCCCCAGCGGCGTGGCCCGGGCCCCACAGGCCGATCTACCCTTCCCCCCCTGGATGGGGGTGTAGGCCCTTCCCTTCTGGCTTCGAGGGGCGTATCCCCAGCTGGGGTGGTAATGTGGTGGGGGTCTCGGGTCTCGAAGGGGATGGGGATGGGGATGGGGATTGGATAATCGATACCGACCACTCGCGCCCGCCCCTGTTGGCGTTAAGTCGGACCTGTCCCTCTGCAGGGGGAATATTCAAAAAATGATCAAAAAATAGTCCGGGGACTATTCTTAATGTATTTGTTTGACCACTTTGGGGCATGTTTTGACTACTTTTCTTCGTCGAAAATCCCCCTCTAGGGGGACACGCCCGACGTCATGTTGGCGACGAGGTGCTGAGCGGAGCAAGAGTGCGCCACGCCCTCGCGCGGGTGGTCGGCTCCCAGGGAACACGAGGGGAGCGCGGCGCCGAGGCGAAAGAGACCTCTGCCCCCCTTTGCCCGCGCGAGGTGCACGCCCCGGCCCACCTCTGCCACGAGTCCTGCAAGTCTGGCGACAGAAGGTCGAGGTCGAGAGGAGCGGTGCGAGCTCTGTTGTCTTTTGCATGGTCCAGCTGGAACCATTCTTGCCGAGGCATCATCGACCCGCTGGGCGGCAGAGTGGGGCGGACGTAAACAGACATGCGTACATATTAGCATACATACATAACATGTGGGGGAAGGAGGAGAGGGCGACAGGAGTGAGGTCAGAGGGAGGCGGAAGGGGTGAGGGGAAGGAAGGGCGAGTGGGAGGGTGCGCAGTGGGACTGGGAAAAAGAAAATTGAGGATGTGGACGTGGGGAGTGGAGGGGAGCGGGCGGGGGGGAGGAGGGGATGAGAAGGCGGACCCTGTGGGTTCGAACGGCGAGCTTCTCCAAGCCTCTCTGGTCTGGGCCACGAAGTCCTCCTCGAGCATCCGGTGGAACACCAGCCTGGCAGCCTCCAGAACACCAAACCACTCGATACAAAATATGTATGTGTGCATGCATGTGTGTATATGTATGTATATCTGTCTGTCTGTCTGTCTGTCTGTCTGTCTGCCTGCATGCATGTACATGCATGTATGCATGCAGATGTGTATGTATACATATATGCTTGCATGCATGCATGTCTGTATACATATACATGTATGCATAATACATGGTTCCCACACAGTGTTTGCATGTATTGTATGCGACTCATGGTCTGAGGATCTGAGCCTAGTTGCTGGTGTATATAAATATATATATATATATATATACAAACGTACATAAAAAGAGTTTCGCACAGAGTGGTTGCTCTTAGGGACTCTGGCTCATGGTCTAAGGATCTGGGCCTAGTTGTTGGTATATATACACCTAAAAAACTATGTCCCAAACAGTGCATGCACTTAGGGTCTCTGGCTTTGGTCCAAGGATCTGGGCCTAGTTGTTGGTCCTGCGGCTGTGCCGTCGCCGTCCCCGTCTTGTCGCCGCCTCGTCGCCGCCTGTCGTCTGGGCCTGTCTGGCGGTCTGGCAGCCATGTCGTCGCCGTCGCCGCCCCGTAGCCATCCCGTCGTCGCCCGTCGTCTGGGCCTGACCGCCGGTCTGGCGACTGTGTTGTCGCCGTCGCCACCCAGTCGCAACCTAGATTCTCTTTTCAAAAAAAGAAAAAAAATTACCGCCGCCCCCCCCTCGGGGTTAAAGACCCCCCGGGAACCGATGCAAAACACATCGGATTCTGACCCAATGTCCATCCCACCTGTGAAGTCATAGTATCCCATCCATGCTGGTACCGGTCCCCCCCCGCCATCCTCTGCCCAAAAAACTATGCGCGCACACTCGTTTATCAAACATCCCCTTGCAAAAATGGGACGAAATGCGCACGCACGCGTCGTCGCGCGCGCATACAACAACTTTCGGTTTCGGAAGAATTTCAAAATCGAGCGCCCACAAAACATTTAATAACACAGGGTTTCGCAACACGGATTCTGAAACAAACCATGCGCGCGCGCTTTTGCGATTGACGCATATATATAACAGCGTGTTTTCACTATTTTCAAAAACTGCTACCACACGGGCTTGGCGCGCGCATGTCGGAGTGGTTCGAACGCCCTTGCGCGGGTGCCGTCGCGAGAATCCTTCAGCAAAACATGTTACAAAGTGCGTGAGCGCGCGTCGTCGCGAGCGCATGCCGAAATCCTTCAAACACCTCCTCTTCCGGAGTGACTCCGGAACCGAATGTCCAAAAAACATACAAGACCAGAAGGATTTCGCAACACGGATTTTCAACATAAGCGTGCGCGCGATTGCGAATGCTGAAGAACATCTTGAGTCCTTCAGAACATACGATCAAACGGGCTTCGCGCGCACACATGTCGAAATCGTTCGAACGCCCTTGCGCGCGTGCTGGGGTGGCACGACCCGCGTCAAATAATGTCATGCGGGCCACTCTCGCGCGATTGCCGCGCGCGCATTTCGGATTCCTTTCAAAACTTTCATAACCAACGCGAAGACGCCGTCATCGTCGCCGGCGTGATCCGCATCGGCGCCGTCACTAACCGTACCGTCGTCGCTGTCAACATCGTCACCAACATCGCTACTATCATCACCATCGCGCCTACAATTGTCCACTTTGCCATGATACCGCACCCGCCCGAATCGCCGACTCGCGCTCAAGTGGCCGCCTGGATGCGCCAAGCGTTCAGCACCACCGCGGCCGCGTCGGTCGCGCCAAACTACTTGGCCGCTGCGCGCGCGCATGAGCGGGCTGGCGCGTCCGAGGAGATGCACCAGCCAGCGCCAAGCACTCATCGCAATCGCCGCCGCATGAGGATGGCAAACCAAGTTGCGGCTGGGTGGGTGGGATGCTCTCGCGAACACTGGAGTGGACAACTCACTGCGAACACAAATTAAATCCACAACATAGATCGCACCACGTACGCTGCACGCATAGATTGCGCCGCGTAGCTTGCACCATGCAGGTTGCACCTGTGCCCCAGGTCGATTCCCTTTTTTCTTTCCAAAATAAATTATACCATTTGTTCCCCCCCCCCCGGACTTATCCCCCCGGGAACATATATATATATATATATATATGAATACATATATACATACATACATACATACATGCATACCTACCTACATACATATATATATATATATATATATATATTTATGTATATATACGTATATATTTATGTAAAACACATAGGATTTTGATCCAATGCCCATCCTACCTGTGAACTCATGCTATCCCGGCCAAACCTGTATCGGTCCCCCCCGCCACCCTGTGTAAAAGAGTATGTGTGCGCGCGCTCGCTTATCAAAACCAAAAGTTTACGAGGGCCCCTTGCAAGCCAATATGGCAAAGTGTACACGCGCGCGTCGTCGCGCGCATTCCGAAGTCCTTCAAAAACCGTTGGTTTCGGAATGGTTTCAGAATCTACAGTCCCGAAAAATATAAAACACATAAGATTTCGCAACACGGATGTTCAAAAAAAGTGTGCGCGCGCTCTCTTCCGAATTCTTGGAAAAAACACATGTTTCAACACGATCAAACCATACTATCAAATGGGTTTCGCGCGCGCGTATGTCGAAATCGTTCGAACGCCTTTGCGCGCGTGCCGTCGCGACAACCCTCTGCAAACAATTGGGCGAAGTGAGCACGCGCGCGTCGTCGCGCGCGCATGCGGCAATCCTTGAAACACCTTCGGTTGCGTAACGGCTTCAAAACCGAATGCCCCAAACACGTATGAATAAACACCAGGTTTCGCAACATTAGTTGTCAAAAAAGCGTGCGCTCGCGCTCCTGCGAATTCTTAAGCCAACCGTAGTGTTCCAACATGTTCATGGCATTCTGCCAAACGGACCTCTCGCGCCGCATGCCGACATCATTCGTACGCCCTTGCGCGCGTGCTGGGGGGGGCGCGATCCGTTTCAAATAATACCACGCGGGCCACTCTCGCGCGCCGGCCGCGCGCGCATGTCGAACTCTTTCCCAAACATGCATCGCCGACGCGAGGGCGCCGTCATCATCGTAGGCGTGATCAGCATCCGCGCCGTCACTGGCCGTGGTCGTCGCTGTCAACATCGCCGCCAACATCGCTGCTATCGTCACCGCGTGCCTTTGTCGACGTTGCCATGATACCGCGCTCGCCCAAGTCGCCGATTGGCATTCAAGTGCCCGCTGGGCTGTGCCCAGCGGTCAGAGCCACCACGGCTGCGTTGGTCGCGCGTGCGCATGAGCGGGCTGGCGCGGCCGCAGAGATGCACCAGCCAGCGCCAAGCACTCATCGCAATCGCCGCCGCATGGGGTTTGTAAACCAAGTTACGGGTGGGTGGGACACTTGCGCGAGCAATGGAGTGGACAACTTCAAACTGAGCATTGGTGAATTGCACCTCGTAGGTTGCAGCTCATAGATTGTACAGCAACGGGTGCACCACATTTGTGGCGCACCAATTAGATTGTACCACGCATGACGCACCACGCATATTGTACTACATCGATTGCACCACCTAGATTACTACCTAACCTAGATTGCACAACATAGTTTGCATAACATGGGCTGCACAACAAATATTGCGAAACGTATATTGCACCACCTAGATGGCTCCACATCCTTAAGTTGTACAGCACATGTTGCTAGGAACACTCTGTTTGCGGACCACGCTGGCGAACACACACACACACACATGCATGCATCCATGCACGCATGCGTACACACATACGCGCATACACATACATACATACATACATGCATGCATGCATGCATGCATACATACATACATACATACAAGCATGCATGCATACATGCACAACCATACACCCATACATGCATACACATGCACACATACATACATGCATACACACATGCATACATGCATACATACATACATATGTACACGCATCCATACATGTGTATACATACATACATACATACATACATACATACAGACAGACAGACAGACAGACAGACAGACAGACAGGCACACATACATACACACATCCATACATACATACATACATACATACATACATGCAGGCAGGCAGGCAGGCATACATACATACATACATACATACACATATATATATATACACACACGTACATACATGTATTCATACATGCATGCACGCATGCATACATGCATGTATATACACATGCACACATACACGTGCGTGCATGCATGCATGCATGCATACATACATACATGCGTGTGCTGATAAAAGATATGCGCTTTCAGGGTCAGCACGTTCTTCAGGGTCTGCGCTGGACCCCCCCCCCTCCCCGGACCCCTTCACCAACGCGCGCCTGGCGCGCCAGGGGCGGCGCCCCTGGCGCCGCCAGGGGTTGTGTATGGGGACGAGGGAGAAGGCCTCGCGAAATTCCACAAAATGGTCTGGGCTTCCAGCCTCGGTGTCCCCTGGGCGGACATAGTTGTCGTCGGGCGAGGGGATCCCGTCCATCGCCCGCGGGGGCAGGTAGTTGATGCCTGCGCGGGCCAAGAGGAGCAGAGGCGTCCCTCAACCCGCCCGCAGCGCTTCTTCTCTCAGAGGCTTAAGGCCCTTCAGCGGAAACATTCATTCGTTGCCGCCTGACGGGGCGAATCCATTCGCGGTGGCTTGAGAACGAGGCATCTTAACGAAACGTTGGAGAAGGCAGGGGCGGCGAACGACAGTGACTTTCCTCTCCTCACTGCACGGGCTTGGCCTTGGGGGCACACCCAGGGCCTGGGAGGCCGACGATGATGATGATGATGATGATGATGATGGCGATGATGATGATGATGATGATGATGATGCTGATGATGATGATGATGATGATGATGATCATGTTTGGGGCTTCCTCTTTTTGGGCGTCGCGCCGCCACAGGTTCAAAGTGCACGAGGCTCAAGCACACGAGGAGAAACGGCCACCGGGACCTGGAAGGGGCCCATACACGGCGAGCGCCAGCACCCTCCAGCAGGTCAGCGAGCTAGCCAGCGAGCTTGGCTCGCCGGCCGCACTGACCCCTAGAGGGTAAGGCAGCCCGCCGAGTACAATTGGCCCCGCAAACACAAGGAAACGCAGTTTAACGTGTTAAACCCTCCGGGGCCACCCCTCGAGAGCCTGACCTAAAAGGTGGCAGAATTGGGGATGGACGGAGGGCCGCTTGAGCCGTACACCTACGGAACGATCGAGCGAAGGAGTGCTCACCCTGAGCTCTCCCGAGGCCCGTCGGGCGAACACTATATCACCTGCTCGCTCGACGGCGGCGCTTTGCCTAAGAGGTCCAAACATACGCCCAACCCCGAAGGTGTTATGTTACATGTTTGGGGCTTCCTCTTTTTGGGCGTCGCGCCGCCACAGGTTCAAAGTGCACGAGGCTCAAGCACACTCGAGGAGAAACGGCCACCGGGACCTGGCAGGGGCCCATACACGGCGAGCACCAGCACCCTCCAGCAGGTCAGCGAGCTAGCCAGCGAGCTTGGCTCGCCGGCCGCACTGACCCCTAGAGGGTAAGGCAGCCCGCCGAGTACAATTGGCCCCGCAAACACCAGGAAACACAGTTTAACGTGTTAAACCCCTGGGGCCACCCCTCGAGAGCCTTCCACGTCCCCCTATTGTGGCTCTGCCGACCTATTTTAAACGGATGCCATCGGGTAAGGTACCACTGGATCGAATTTACAATTCAAGTCTTACAACCTCAGCTGTCTTAAAATATCTTTCCAGCGGAAGGCAGGCAGCTCGAATTCAATCCTTGGTGCTAGGCAGAAGGGTGAGAGCGACGGTATCAGCAACTGCCTGAGACAAGCACATCCTGGCTACTTTCGTGCCGCCCCACCGGCCCTGTTGAAGAGTATACTCCGTATTTCTACGGCGGGTGAAGTGGGCGGTCGCACCTCCTCTGCGGAGGCTGTACATTGTGAACCCTCGGTCCTGAAGGCCGAACATCTGAAGCAACCAGGACAAGTGCTTTCGAACTTCAGGCGCCGTCGCTCCACACAGCAGATCTCCTGACCCCAGCTGCATGCATCTGTATTTTTGGATATTTCGAGACACTCCGTCTTTGAGAGAAACCACTTCTGAAAAGCCAGTTCGCAGTCCCATCTTTGAGGCCTCGATGTGAAGAACTGCCCGCTCACCTTTGACAAGGATGTGCCGCCGTCTGAGAGCCAGCAGCTCGCCTGTGCGCATGAAAGTGTCGAAACCGACGAGCATCGCGGTTGCCAGACCTTCCCAGCCGAGGTCCCACGCTGCAGCTGCCAAGGCTAGGACCATGTCGGCCGTGAACGGTGTCGCCCGACAAAGCGTGCACTGCCTCTCCCACGCTCGCACCAGGCCCCAACTCTGCTGCAGGTTGCTCTTCGAGGAGGGCATCATCCATTGTAAAGCCGCTGTCGCATTGACCACCAGGTAAAGCGGCTCCAGCTCTGCCCAACACGCTTCCACGTACAAGCCGAGGTTTTTGTCCACGTCGTTGAGCGAGGACAGCTTCACATTGTGCGCCTTCCACCACACAAAAAGGCGACCGGCACATCGAACATGCCGATCACGCGTGGCTTTAGTGACCTGTAGGTCGCGCAACCGCGCGCCTCGCTTACTGAATTGAGAACGCACAAGCAACCAGCTGCGACGCCTGCCGCGCTGAGCTGTCACTTGGACCCTTTCCGGCGCCGTTTCTTAGTCAAGAACTCTCTGGACGGCCGATCACTTGGGTTGAGCTTGGTATTGATATACCTAACGCCCACGTACAAGTCTGAGCTGGCGAGTATAGCAGCGCACTGTCGAGCGAGTCCTCGGAGCTTCCCCGACGACGTGCGGCCGCGGGTCAGTATCGAGGCCACAACTTGGGAATCGACAAGGTGCAGAACCTTCACGCTCCTGAACGAGGTAGTGCGAGTCCTGTGCCGCAAGGAAGCGTTCACCGCCTTCAACTCGAGCGCGTTGATATGCAGCTCTCGACGACTTCGGCCACGGGAAAGACAGCGTCGGCCGCCAGCGCCACAGCGCCGGGTCAATCGAGGATCGCGGCCACGCCTTGGGGCGGAAAGGCGCACCGAGGTCGGGGCGGATGTCGCTCCCCGACTTCTCGGCAATCGTCCAGAAAATCTCGACCAGCTTGCGGCCGATGGAGGTTTCCTTGATGGGGTCCTTCGAGAACTCCACCGACTCGTCGAGTAAGTCCTTTACTTCCAACTCGCTCGTGACCCCCTCGAGGTCGGTCGCCCTGACGGGCCAGCCCAACTGGCACTTCAGACCGAGGAACAGCCAGCTAACGACGCAGCAGGCGAACGCGTTCCCCAAGAGGCTGCAGCGATCGTTCCCAACGCTGCCACGGCTGGAGCCCGAGCTGGCTACGGACGACGAGTAGTGGCGAGGGAATCCCATGAGCACCTCCTTCTGCGCGGCACACAAAGGCCTCAAGTCCCCCTTGGAGTCCCGAATCATGTGAACTAGCTCGTACTGGTACGGAGGGTGCGCGTGCAGGTCCTGGGCCCACCTCTGGATGGCCTCTGGGCTTGCTGTCGATAAACCTGCAGGCTTGTACGGGGCAGTCTTCTCCCGCCGCTGGAGAAACGTGCAGACTGGGCCCTTGTCCGAGGCCCTGGAGCACCCTGAGGCAACCCAAGAGCTTGCAGGAGCCTCCGGGACCTGGAGCGCACTGATGAGGTCGTAGTTGGCCTTGGGCTCCACGTGCACCCCGGGGAGCTTGAGGACCGCCTCTCTCCAAGACAACCAGTACAATCGTGGCCTTCTACTCTCGGTAAAGAGGGAGTTGCACGCGCTGATGGGCCTAGTCTGGAGGATGCGGGAGAACTCCTGGAGGGCTTCTGCGCTCATTGAGAATACATTTTCCACAAGCCAATGGACAGGCACCTTCATGACGAGAGCAAGTGCGCTCACCACCTTGGGTATGCGCTTGAACAGACCGCTCCGAGCGCCATGTGCGCCCTGCCGGTCGGCGTTCACACCGCTCGTGTCCTGGCAAGGGCTGCCTCCCGCAACGACCACGGCGACAATCCGATCCTGGAACATGGCCAGAGCCTCAAGCTGTCGGTCGTGAATTTCCTCGACTGGGCCCAGCCCGATCAGGCCAGGCCAGCGCGATCTCAGCACCCGGCGAGCCCCTTCTATCGACCTCGCTGCTCATGTAGCCCACGATGTCGAAACCAGCGCGCGCCAGCGACGCAGCAGCAGCGCCGATGCCGTCAAACAAGCTTACCAACAGGACGCACGGCGGAGCCCCTGGGGCGATCCTGGTCGGCTCGATCGTGCACGAGCCGGTGTAGCTGGCAATGCGATGGCCCCAGGTCTCAGGGCTCCCGAGAGATGCCAGGAACTTCGCGGCCCCCTCTGCGAGCCCCACGGCCGTGCACATACCTGCACCGTCTTCGCTGGCGTCAGAGCACGAGACGATGCCCGTGGTAGCGGCCCTCAGGTTGGTGGGGGCGAGGGGCATCAGCAGGCAGCTGTGCATCAGCTCGCCCAGGCTGGCTTTGGTCAACACAGTACGGCCCGAGCCAATCTGCTCCCACACCGAGTTGAACGCCCCGAAGAGAGGACGTCGAAACTCTAGCGCCCTCACCCGGCGTCCCATGAGAATCAGGAGCTGGCTCCCGAAGGGGTTCTCTCTCGTCAGGAGCCACATGGTAAGGCTGTACAGCTGCACGTTCTTCATCCGATTGTTGGCGGCCCTGCCTGAGACCCCGTCCACCTCTACGCCCATCCGCGTGACCAAGAGCTGCCTCTAGTTGGCTTTGTCCACGCTGATGGGGATTGCATTCCGCTGGTAGCTCTCCCTCATCTGGGCCTGCAGGCGGCCAGGAGTGCCCACCTTCGCGAGCGCCTCCTTGCATCCAGCCGTCTCGCAGTTATCGAAGTCGTCGATATACACGCTCCACCACTCGCGAGGGCCCTCATGAGACAGGGGAGCAGCTGCAGCGAGTGGGATAGGACGGTCGCGCCGCCACTCCAGGTCAGCTGGGAGGGCGGCGCCAGCAGGGCGACCAAGAAGCGCAACTCGCCGGTGGGCGCTCTGGAAAATGGGAACGCTGCACACCCAGCCCATGGGCAGCACCGTCATGGCCAGCCACACCTCCTTGGCCTTCACGCCAAGAACATGGCCGGGGATTGGGGTGCAAATCGCCATGTAGCCCAGCCGCGGCGCAGGGGTGCGGTACATGAAGAAAGCTCCCTTCTGGTCGTCCCCACTCCAGAGCAGCGCCTCCTCGGGGCCAAGGGAGATGCTTACCCGCGCCGGCGAGGGTGCCAGAGTCACTGAGTCCCCCGCCACCGGTCGAAGGTCCGTATTCGTCGGGACCATGTTGAAAATCAATCGTGTTACTCTGGCCTCTCCCTCAGCTGGGGGCCCCGACTTCGTCACAGCAAACAAACCGTTCGTGGCGCGACGGCCGCGTGCCACAAAGATGCGCTCAGCTGGCATAGGGGCCAGCAATCCACGCTCCACCAGCTTGGCAGCGATGGCCCACCAGTCCTCCAGCTTCTCGACGTTGACCTTTGCCTTCGGGGGCGACTCGGGCCACTCGGCCTCCGGCAAGAGCGACATCTCGGGTTTGGTGAGCACCTCCTTGAGCTCTGGCCCCACATAGTCCAGCGCGTCTAAGCGGCCGATATCTTCGGCTTTGGGAAGGCCGGGCTCAAGCTCGCCGAACTTCAGAGGGGGCGCCCGACAGTCCTCCTCCAGGTCGTAGCTCGACTTCGTCTTCTTCATTTCCTGAGGCCAGAACGGGATGTCAACCGCCGCCAACGCGTCGCCCACGCGCCACTCGACCGCCTCACCGATCACACGTAGGCTGGCGGCCTGCACCTCAAAAAGGCGCCCGGCTGCTTCCCGGCGGTCCTTGCTCAGGTGGCCAAGGTAAAAGTAGTTCAGGCCCAGCGCGCTCAGGAAGGTCCACACCTCGACCGCTATGGCTTGGGCCTCCTTCTTTAGAGCAGCTGGCCACTTCGCAACATCCACGGGGGATCCCTCACCGTCCAACATTCCTCTTCTCTTCAGATCACGCTCCCAGGCGATAAAGGTTGCCGGCTCCCTTACTGGCAGGGGCAGCACATCGCGCCCGACACCAGCCTCCGGCGATTGTGGCGCGACGCCCACAGGGGACCTTCTAGCGAAATCTCCAATGCAAATTGGTATTCTCCTAACACTGGTGAGGACCCCGAAGCCGATCTCCAGCATTGTCATCCGGCTTGGGCCGCTGCGGCACATGCGCGAGGCGATGTCCGCCTCCCACTGGCCCAGCGTCAGCGCGGCCACCTCGCTGCCGATAGCCGCGCCGCTCATCGCGTTCAATACTCCAGCGCGACCCGCCTCTGCGGCTCGCTCGGCTTCGCCGCTTTCTTGGCCGACACCCGGCGCTTGAAGAACTGCGGCGCGATCCTCTTCTTCAACTGCCGCCTGGGCCCCCCTCGGCACGCGGAGTCTTCGCGCGCGCCGCCGCCCACGCTGACAAGGGCTTCCCGCCCGCCGCCTGGGGGCCCGGGCGGTCTGTCAGCGCGGGCAAGCCGCCCCCCGACGGGGGAGCGGCGCGGCCCGCCTCCAGGGCAGGAGCACGACCCCTGGGCGGCTGCACTCCCAAGCGGCTGCGCAACTCTGCGGCGTCCGCGGCAGTGCCGATGTTGGTGATCGGCAACGCTCTGCTGTCCGGGCTTCCACCGCGGCTCGGGCCTGCAGGGCAGTCGGCCAAGCTCTCGCCGCCGCCCCGGCCAGACCCCTAGCCGCGCCCCCCGAGGCGCTCGAGCAGCTGGGCCATGCGCACCTCGGCAGCCTCGATGCCCGTGACGAGCTCCTCGTCCTCAACTGAGAGGCTCAATCCACCATTGTCGGGGGGGATGAGCTCGAACCACTTCGCCGTCCTCGAATGGCCATCCCGTATGGTCTTTGGGATAGCCTTGATCCTGCAGAAGATGAAATCCAGGGCGTGAATGGGCTTGCCCGAGACAGTGAGGTCCACACTCTCCGCGAGCGTCCGCAGCTCGCGGTACCGGTCCTCGCCAATCTCACGAATGGGGTGCGCAGGCGTCAGCGCCCACGGGCTATGCTTGGTCACACCTCCAGCATCACCATGGTCCAGAAACTGCGCCATGTTCTCCATCTCCCTCTCCGAGAGGCGCCCTGGATGCTTCTCCGCTATCTTCTTGTACGCCAGGCGGCGGGCCGCCACGGGGCGCCCGCCAGGGACGCGATCATCATCACTGTCAAACAGGCCGTCGTCGTCGTCGCCCTTCCGACTCAGGTACTCGGCGAGCGTCTTCAGTACTGCCCGCTCGCCTGAGCCGCGAGCGCGACCGCCCTCTGCTGGACCAGCAGCGGCAGCACTCGGCGCCTGTCCAGTCATCCTCGCCTGGACCACCTCGCCGAGCTTGGCCCTCCTGTTGCGTGCGGCGGCCGCGGCCCCGCCTGCAGCGGCCTCCGGGCCGCGCACTGTCGCGAGCTTCTCCCGCAACTTATTGAGGCGTTCCAGGTAGCCGTCCTTCGCCGAGCCCTTCGCGCCTTCGGACTTGCCTGAAAGCGCTGCGAGCTCCCTGTCGAGCTCAGCAAAGGCCTCCGCGTCCGCCTCGTCGGCCTCCTCGTCGCCGTCGAGCTCCACCAGGTCGCCCCCAGCCTTGCCTACGCCGGCGGGGCGTTTCCTGGCCGGGCCAGCGATAGCGGCGCGACTCGGCGGCGGCTCCTCTTCCTCCTCAGCGGCCTCAGCCTCATCTGAGGCGGCCTGAGCGACATCAGCCGGCAGCTCGGGGCAATCCTCATCGTGCTGGAGCACTGCCATGTGCCGCTCGGCTGCCTGAGCGGCCGTGAGCCTCCGGGGCGCTCTGGTGTGGAGCACCTGGCACCCCTCCCGCGGTGCCGTGTAGCGACATCGCGAGACTGGCCCACGGCACACGTGTAAGATCATTTTCTCTCGCTTCGCAGAGCGTGAATTAAGCCACCATGACAGATATTGGTCACCAGCAGCAAAGTACTCCACCTCGTAGGCGGTGCCCCCTGGGTTGTCCGACATCACTCTGCGCACCACGCCAAGAACAGAGCCCGCGTCGGACCCGTCATCATGCAAGACGGGATGTCGGAAGCACTCGCCCGGCGTCAGCACTGTCGAGCGGTCGTCCGCCATCAGCAGCCGCTCGGACGAGCACTGGTCGGGCCCAGGGGGCGCGGAAAGGTGTACGGTCAGAGTGCCTGAAGCGCTCGAGCTCCAGACCGCAAGACCTGACCTGCGGCGCAACCGCTTGAGCCGTACACCTACGGAACGATCGAGCGAAGGAGTGTTCACCCTGAGCTCTCCCGAGGCCCGTCGGGCGAACACTATATCACCTGCTCGCTCGACGGCGGCGCTTTGCCTAAGAGGTCCAAACATACGCCCAACCCCGAGGGTGTTATGTTACATGATGGTGGTGGTGACCACAATGTAATCCCACCAACCCTCCAGCCCTGCGGGCGGAGATGGTATAACGATTCTTCTCTTCCGTCTTGCCGATCCCCCCACAACCTCTCCCTGGGTCTGGACTTGGGTGGAACCGATGTGGCAGACGGTCCTTTTGGGTTCAAGACGGCCCTCTGGTGGCTCCCGATGCGCCAAGATGGCCTCCAATATTCGGCGGCGACAGAGGGGGGGAGCGAGAAGGGGCGGGCCTTTTCAGAAGACTCGGAAGCCCTCCGGCCTTCTGAGAAGTGTTCTAAGCCTTCTCCGAAGACACAGAAAACTTCTCAGAAGGCGCGAGGGCTTCTGGGAAGTCACGACGCCTTCTGAGAAGGCCTTTTCCTTTTCATTTCCCCCCCATCGCTCGCCGCCGAACGATGGCAGAATGCATCCCAAGATGGTTCATGATAGCTTCCGACATGCACTCAAGAGGTCCGCAGAGGGCCAGAAGAAGGCTCCAAGTGGCAACGACATCTCCCAAAGACCCCCGAAGAGGCCAAACTCGTCCCCACGCCGAAAGAAGATCAATGGTTTTTGTCATCTCGCCGTCTCGCTTCCGACGGGCCTGTGAAGCATCATGATGGCTCCAAGAAGGCCCAATAGAGCCCCAATAGGGGCCCAAGAAGGCTCCAAGATGGCCACAAGACGCAAGTTGTCTGCCTCCGAAGGGGGGAGGGGGGGATAGATAAGGACCACCCCCTTTGAGCAATGGGACCCAATATCGCCGAAGACGGCCTCAAGACGACCCCCAAGAGCTTTTAGAAATTCCGAGAGGGCCTCAAGAGGAGGCTCCACGGCTACCCCCGAGAGGGCCCCAAAATGGCATCCAAAAGGGTCGCACCACAAAGGATCCGACAAGGTCTCTTCCTCCGCCTTCTCCTCTCAGTATCCTGTTCCACCTCCTCCTCCTCCTCCTCCTCATCCTCCTCCTCTTCCCCCTCCCCCTCGCCAAGTTGTCCCTCCTCCTCCTCCTCATCCTCCTCCCCCTCCTTCTCCTGAGATGGCTCGAGGAGGCCTGCGAGGCTCCCGAGGCAACTCGTCTGGCTGTCGGCTCTGGATGGCATAGACGCGATTCTGCATGGGCTCCTTCGTCGCAGGCAGGGCTTCGCTCCCCACAGATCCCGCTGGGCGCGTTACCCATTGCATACTGTCATACAGTCGGACCTAGGCCAGAATAACATCCCTCAAGAACATGAGACGCTCCGTCGGCCAAAAAAACACAGAACATCCGAGGGTACTCTCCCCAGGATGCACACGAGCAGTCAACCAACACGAAGCGCACCAAGCTACC